GATATAATATTTTTGCGGGACCTACTAAATAATATGATTTAAAAAAAAAACCTGTTACAGCATTTGATTCCACAGAGAGAAACTATATAATCRTATTACTTCTTGCCACATGCAATATACACTATTTCTTCCCATCTATAATCACGCTATCACACTGAAATGCCCATATTAATCTTTTCCTAAGTTTATAACGGCCTTTTAATTAACACACTAGCTTTTTAAAACTGTCTTTAAAAAATTATGCTTGAAATAGACTCTGCAGACCACATGAACCAACTTTATAATCTCCTGTACTTCTCCCCTTCCCTGCCTGTTTTCTCACATGCCCCACTGATACGCCGTACTCCTCAAATGAGGGCCTACCATTACTTGACTGCAGAGTCATTCAGAGTTCAACAAAATCAAAATTCTACTTCCAATAAGCGTATTTTTTTCCAAGTGAGAAACTCCACTTCATTTAAGTGCATGTGTTTTTGCTGAAATGAATGAATCAGTACTACAAAAAAAATTCATAGCAAAAGCCTAACTAATCAAACAGAAAATACCCTTAAACTATATAGTCAATAATAAAAATACCACAAGATTTATTCAGTCTCTACACTAAGCACTTATGATCCACTAGCAGTAATATCAACTAACCAATTTTTTTTTCTTAGTAACTGCCATGTGAAAATCCATGGGACTAATTCTCACAATCCATTCACTTTGTCATGTCCAACACACAGCTGTTCCCTTCAGGGAGATTATCCACGTGCAGACCAAAGAAAGATATTTCTGAAGCTGTGCCTCAAGCCACATGGCAAACTCCAGGATAAGGTACACATGAAGAAAAATCTCAGACACAGGACAACTTAGAAAAACGGGAATCCAGCTGTATGATTTAGAAAGTCTATCCTGCAAAACTAAAAATAAAAAAAAAAAAAAATAGGCCAAAACAACTCAGCATGGCTTCAACTTATGCTGTATCTCGGAACCGGAAACCTTGCCTTCTCATGGACTCCAGGAGAAAGCAGCTTTTCAGGGAATAGACTGTTAAGGTCACCCTTGATGCCATGACATTGTTGCAGCATTTTGGAAAGAGGCAGTGACACTAGAAGGACAAACATTTCACTGAAGTGACCAAAAGGCTTAGACTAACTGAAGAACATATTGCACAATGTACTTACTTCATCTGACTCATGTGCTTGTGCTGGGACTGGGTATGTCCTGTCACGCTGCTGCTCGTGCTTCTTAACACAGATTGAACTGCCAGYGATCCATGAGGAAATGAAGGAAACAAGCTGCCTACCCAAAAACTTAAAATAACTGTCAACAAGAGATGTTTRTGATCCCTGTTTCTCTGCTACTTCCACACGATCCCATTTAGGTGAGGGCCATTTCTCTCAGCCAGTGCTGTCATATCAACTAGAAGATACGAACAGCTAGGATGAAAAGCCTGAAGAAACACCCCAGGAAAACAATTTTTCCACATCACAGCCAGCTATGCTAACCTAGTCTTAGAATAAACATCACAAAATCACCCTCCTTTTTCTACTTCTTATGAAGAAAGATGGTGTTTATGTGCACAACTRCATTGACATGACATAACTTATTTTTTGTTTCAGATGGGAGGTTGTGAATTTGAAAAAAAACCAACATACCACAGATCACAAATCAATGAAGTGCATGGACCTGTCCTGAGAAACAGAAACTACAGTCTATCCTGAATTGGTAGTAAAAACATATCTTCCCTTTTCTTCAAGTGCCTGCAAATTGATTAACTAAGACAACTTACCAGCTATGAAAAATTGACCTGCTTTTATTCTTGCAATGTTTGTCCTAGATGTATTACAGTCACTATGACACATCTTATAATTCTGACAATAAAAAAAAATGCATTATCCCTGACATGAAGAAAAATGCAGTTATGACTGTCTTGAGAAGTTTTGCAAAACTGGTCTCATTACCAACCATATTGAGTTTAATCCTGGTTGTTCAAAGAGTATTTCTACTGACAGTGATCCTAGGGTCACATATCTAGCAAAAGTTTTCAACCTTTCTCAACTAAACAAGGGCCTGGCTGAAAAGTTTGCACATCCAAAAGATCCATCCTTGAAATAAGGTCCAAGTCTTGCAAAAACTGCTTGAAAAATTRTAATAAAATCCAGTGGACTGAGAATACAAATAAAAGACTGGAATCCATTCTTCAGCTGAAAGCAAATTCTAAATTTGGTGATTTGGGCAACAGCTAGCACTAATCTACATAAAGCAATTACAGAACTTTATTTTATATATACAGATATGTATGCATGCATATATATATRTGTTTGTGTGTGTGTRTWTTTTTTTTTACTACAATACAATTAAGCGCACATAGAGACCCATGCTAAAGTATTTTTTTTTTAGTTTTGGGTAGGTCATATTATTAATAATTATTAAATTACTTTTTACACATGTACTGTGTGTACTGCACTGGATCTTCAATCCGTGCAAACTGGGTAGCTCAGAAATTCAAGACAACTCTGAGCTGTTGTAGTTACCTGTGCACACTTCTGCATTCTGCCCTCTAGATACATTTCAATAACCTGGTTACCACCCTTGCTGTCTCTTTGCATTTCTAAAAGGCAGAGGGATCCCAAGCCTGGTCCTGATTCACGAGCTCATGCAYAAACCCAGCTGGAAATTCAAGAACCTTAGATTATTTTGACAGACAATGATCAGACAATGGAAATGTGCATTTTTGCTTGGTAAGTATGACAAGGASTGCATAGCACTAGCTGTGTTAGTAATGGCTTATATGTTCTGCTGTGAAAAAACACAAAATGCCTACATATTGCCTTTTTTTTTTGTTTTAGAAATAGGATCTTTGCTGTTTTATACTAGGTTAAAGCATACTGTGAAATTACATGATGTGGCATCATGAACTTCCGCATCCTCTGTTTACATTTCCACACAAATTCTTCCCAGCAAAGAAGTGAGAAGTTTTGGGTTACCATATGAAGAAACCAAGCCTGACTGGCACTTTGCAGATGAGAGCCAATGCTGGCTCACAAGTTTGGTGAGGAAAAAAGGGAAATACTTGTTTCAGTTCTGTTAGACTTACGGGACAGTGCATTTTCATTTACCACTGAACTAAGTAACACAAGCCTTCCCAGCTGTGCATTCCAGATTTGGATGTTTGCCCAGAAGTGGCCACCCTTGCTCTCACGCCAGGGTGAAATGCTCACCTTCTGGTTGCATGATGCTTCACACCAAGGGCATCAGATTGGTGATGAACTTCTGAACTAAAGAGAACTTTTGGTCTTGCCTTTTCTTTCCCAAAGCTTATTTGACTGCTTATTCTGCCCAATCATCCTTTCCATCATTATTCCAATCCTTGTGAGGGGTGACTGAACTAACAGCTCATACACATTCACAGTAGGGAGGTGTTTGGCAGTGCAAAATCACAGACAAATTACACCCCACGGCAGAGGATGTTCTGCAGGCACCATCCACTGGATTCCTGAGGTAATGGCAACTCTAGAGGACACTGAATCAAGACTATAAATTTATGTAAGTCACTGAAAAATGACATTGAGGGACCAAATCTGGATTTGAACTGATCACTTGAAAAGCTCCATATCCCATTGTATTGAGCTATCTGGCACACTGCTCCATTCTCTGCCTCTGGCTGGAGATTTAAACCCAACAATACCCTGCCAGTGGATACAGTGGGTCTATCTTCATGGAGCAAAGACAAACTTCTGGTTCCTCTGTAGGATTACTCTTTTTAAATAAGAGAAGTATGTCTTCATGTTGAGGTGTGCCAACTTCTCTGTAGCAAAGGTTTTGATGTTATTTCCTGTGGCCTAGCAGTTTATTACTGAGAAATAGTAACAGAAAGCAGTCAAGAATAAGGCACTCACACCATGGCAGGCAGAAACTCCTCTTAAGAATGCTARATCCTTATCAGAGACTAACCTGCACACTTCTAAATCATCAGACCAGTCATCATACAGCACTGGAAGCTTCTGAACAGCGTGAGGCACAGTGGGCCCTGCCCCAGCAGGTGCCCCATTGTCCGGGGCTGCCAGAGCATCGCTGCCAGAGCCCGCCTCGGCAAAGGAGTCCTTCGTGTGCCTAAGGAAAGCTGCAGGCTGCCGATCTCTCTGGGAGCTTTTCCCTTTGCTTTTCCCACATTTTCTTGAGGAAGTCCTTGCTTCCTGAGATGATGCTGATGACTGTGATTCCTTAAGCTTTGTAATCCTTCGGCGGTGATTCAAAGTAGTATTGTCAGGGTCAGACACCTCTTGCTTCTTTTTTCCCACTGTACCCAAGGTGACAAGTTCAACAGCATTATTGTTTGAGGACCCATCCTGGTTACTGCAAGATCTATTGTTTCTTCTCCCTCTCCTGGCCATCCTGGCCTTTTCTCTCGCTCTCCTCCTAGCCTGAGCCCACTGACCCTCATCCGAAGATGATGATGAATCAGATGTGTTCCAGTTGGATCTYGGAGGTTCAGGATGCAATTTACAGTTCCTCCCCTTTCCTTGTTTCTCTGTGTGCTCACCATTGTCTCCAGTCTCTCTTTTCCGCCTAAACCTTCGTTTTATGTGTTTCTTACCACCAGGCTCCCTATTAGAAGGGGCCAGCACCATGACAGGGGTTGCATGTTCAAGCTCATCTTCTGACAAATCATGCAAGGTAGTAGATCTAGACAAAAGCAGTAAGCAAAGGAAAGGGATGGAAATGGTAAGGGTGGGAGGAAAAAAAAAAAAAAAAAAAAAAAAAAAAAAAAAAAAAAAAAAAAAAAAAAAAAAAAAAAAAAAAAAAAGATGAGAATGAGAACATGAATTTTAACAGAAAAGCATGAGACTAAAAAGCAAAAACAAAAACAAAACCAAAACAAAGAGAGATCAAAAGAAAACTAAAGTCGATGTCAATCATGAATAAAGTTAAGCAGAAGCAAGAGCTACATAATATTTAATAAAAACAACTAACAAGAAACAACCAAATGAAAGTATATTTTTCTCAGCACATACCTACAAATGTCCTGAGTGGAGGGGCAGACAGACAACCGAGATTGACTCCTGGGAGCTGTTCCTGTTGTAGGACTGCTTGCCTGTTGAAATAAGTTAGACAGTTTGGAATCTTTGTCCATGAAATACATTGAAGATATTTTACTGCTTTGCCACATGATCACAAAATTGAAATAACTGTTCCTGCTGTTCATAGCGCACTGTTGAACTCACAGAAGCTCACAAAATACAGGAAGCTTGAACAAAAGTGAAACCTATTTGTGGAACTAAGTACGACTGAAGTGTTTGAGCTCTCATTTGCTCATGACTACTTTTTGTTACTGTTTGAGGAAGCAGCTTTCAGCATTTCAATTTTCATTTGGCTCTACTGCAAATGTCTGATGGAAAGAATACTGTTTTTATTTCATGCAATCAACCAACCACGATGATTCTTTTCCAATCACATGAAGTGCATTTGCGATGCACTGATGAAGAGCCCAAAGCTAACCAAGGCTGAGTGGACTGATGAAACAGCAAGAAGATTAGAGAGTGGTTTAAAAGGTTTTCAAGGCAATCATATCTTCTAGAAGAGCTGAAAATGCTAAACTGAGATGAGCCTGAGAAATCCAAAGTTCAGACTGCATCTCTACAGAGCTGATCACATCCTCAAACAGCAGAAGAGACATAAAACATGTTTAGTATGTGACATTTTGCTCRTAAGGTTGTTGCTACAAATTACCGATTCAGTTACCCAATACTTCCACTGAAAACATATTTTGATGGTGTTAACAGCAAACCCTTTCAATCTGCCTTGCTATCTATTGGCAGCAGAACTGCATGGAATCCAAATGTAAATCCAAGGCGTGATTCTTCAGGATCACTCACAAGACACAGGAAGTGGGTTCAATACAAATAATTCTTAAGGTTATGAACTTCCTTTATCTAACCAAGAGTATTTTAGTATGCAAACCCATCCCATTGTGAGTGCCAGTACCAAATGCAGACAAAAGAATACAAGGCTTAGAATTCCAGAAGATTGCGCAGCAGATGCAAGGGAAGGATGAATATTAAGCAAGAGTACAAAGTACAGATCAAACAAAGATGTAAAGCCCGTTAGCCCAATCTTTTGTACTAGCAAATMAAATTCAGTCAGATAATTGAAATTATTTCTAGCTCAACTTTCACCAACATTATTTCTACAAAAGCAGGTTTTCAATTATATGTATTGTGAYAGAGCATGAATTTTTCTTACATATGTATTAGAAACATATGTTATATGCACGGTTGGGCATATAATCTTCTTCTACCTCAGCCTCTGTGATTAGCATTAAGTAATTAGGCATATCTTAAAGCTACTCAATGAGGAAAAATGCAGACATCAGCACCAATAACTAATGTCACTGAGTTACATGCTGCTGCTGCTGCATGAAGAAACATCCCTGCAGACTAAACTCCAGGTGAAGGACTGCTGAAGAAATCCACCCCCAGAGCTGAGTGTGGGCATCTGAATTCAACCCCCATGATGAGTTCTCATTTCTTTTCCCCCTCACATCTGTTACCATTGCTACTTTTGGGATCTCTCTACTACAGAGGTTTGGCCTGATCTTAAGTGGTGGTCAGGTCATCTCCATGCTGTAAAAGGATTTTTTAATATCACTTTGACACAATCAGCGTCCMTTGAAGGGATGAGGAGAATGGCTAAGCTGGCCCAGTAACCACACAGTAGGTCTGCACAAGTTCAAGAAACTTTCAGCAGCTATTAAAGCAGGAAGCCAGCTAGACAGTTCTTAAGAGAGCTGAAATAAAGCCAAAAATTAAACAAACTCCTTGAAAGGCTTTTACACTTATGATTCAGAACTGCAGACAGGTGGAAATCTAATTATTTTATAATAAAAATTACATTACCAGTTTGACTACTTAAATCTTACATTTCACTTTTGAACTGTCAAGTGGTCTGGACTGTTTCAGCCCTGCTCAGTCAAATTTACTTTCTAGTTCCTCTGTGCAAGGATAATGATGTTTAGTTGCACGTAACTCAGAGAAAAGTTTATTTCCTTCAAAATCAATTTACATAAAAATCTTTTCTTAAAAATGAGTGCTTTTTGCTTGTTTATCTAAACCCTATTGGAGCAAACATGACAACTGGCAGGCAAAAAGCCAGTGTACCACTTAAGTCTTCAAAAACAAAGCATGAAAACTCCAACATGACAAGTTATACACAAGATAATTCAGATTCTTACCGGTGAGAAAATTTAGTTCAATTGGTTTCTGCAACTTTGTAATACAAATTATGATTTTTATGTACATTAAATTAGCTTATAATGGTAAAATCATAGAATATTAGGTTGGATGGGACCTCAGATCATCTAGTCCCACAYTTCTTGGCAAAAGCACAGTGTGGACAACATGTCCCAACACCCTGTCCAGCTCAACCCCCAAAGTGTTTGATGTTGTGGTAACAAAAATGAACTGATGGCATCATTTTTAAAATGAAGGAAGTTAGTGTTTCTGATACAACTTTTCTGATGTTGACGGTACCTCACAGGTAATGGAGGCCCTTAAATTCAAATATCTCTGTAATTAAATAGGAGTGCAAGGACTTGCTAATGTCAGGCCTGCCCCTGCTACCATAYGTCATATGAATATAAAAATTCACAGCTAGTTGAGCTGTTTTTACAAACCTGTCAGCTTCAACTCAGCTGGATGCCTACTCCAGACCCCAAACTCCTCTACTTTTTCATCCTACCCTGCTTTGACAGCAGTAACTCTATCTGCTTTCTGCTACCAGCACTGCCTCTGGGTTTACCCCAATTCCTTTGGCAATATTCCCTCTTTGACATGTTCTCTACAAGCTATACACCCCAAACAAATTAAAAAAACTTTAAATAGCTCTATCTCTTAAATCCAGGCTGAGAGCAAAGATACATAATGGGGCATTTAGTTGGATAGCGCATTTACAGAGAAAATTCTGTATTTTCATGGCATATCTGACAAACCAGAAGATGATAATTTTAATATATTCTGCTCACGTCTTATCAGTCCAGGTCTTCTGGGAATGTATATGCAACAGATGTTGGAAACAGTCTCAAGCWGACAGATATTATTGCTATAATTGCTATCCCATTGCTATACTGCTATGCAGCACACTGAATATTTTGAGATACAGTATTTAGTGAATAGAGGGATCAGATTGATGCTGAGGACTCCAATTCCACCTGGCAGGCAGAATAACAATTATTTTTTAAAAAACAGTATTCCTTGAATGAATGTCTTCTTCAGACAGGTATATTGTACAGCTCACTGGAATTGGAAATCTAAACAAGCACTGCACTAATTTTATCATAACAAATTATATCASTAGCAGAATTAAATGTGGTAATTCAAAATGAAGCTGTCTTGCAATTCATTTATAAGCAAGGCAGCTCATTTCTCCTTGCCATCAACACAAGGAAGAGGTCTAAGGGATAATGCCAACTCCAGCTGATTAGGTTTGGCATTTCAAAAAGATTGTTAGTAGAGAGAGATTCCCCAGTCACCACCTTCTGCTGTCTTGGCCAGTTCAGATGAACTCTCTTGTCCAAGATATGCAATTCAATTAACAGACATGACAGGGCACTCATCCACAATTATTTTTGGTATGCTGATAGTGTGTTCTTCAAAGAGTATACTGGTAAATACAGAGTTTTCAGGATAAGTGAGATGATAATCATTTATCTGACACAAGGGGAATTCAGTGTCACACACGTGTCTGTGTTAAAAGATCAGCAAAGACAGAAATGGGGGACTAACTAAGTTCAACTGATACAAACAGTAAGCATTTCAAATCAAGACTTCCTTTACTTAGGKGTTCAGGATCTGATAGAATTTTCCAGATAATAAAGAAAAGGGAGTCCTCACAGGCTGTGTACTGCTCAACCTGCCTGTGGAAACTAGTGCAAGAACATGGCCAAGTTCTACTTTRGCATAACAGAAAGCATGGGCAAAACACATTCCAGAAGTGCAAAGCAAAGGAAGAAAGTGACATTTCAAATTAATAAACCAGATGAYGGAATGGACAGCTTCTATAAAATGGCCTCACAGATATCACCAGAAAGGCTAATGAATCCTCTCCTCTGAACAGGGAAGGGCAGAGGCATTTCCAAGAGCTGGTCAGCTTACACCACTGCTGAAGCAGTAAGCTGCAGACAGCTGAGGGGTGATAGGGCAGACAAGGAATATGTCTGATGCTTTTGTTCTCTGACTGAGTTTGCTCTAATAGCACTGATGCATCACAGAATCATCCAGATCCCACAGCCATTATAGCTACAAAGCTGAAGCTCTATCCTATTTGAAAAACAGCACACGAAAGAGTGGATACCTTAGAWGATTAAGCAGTTTGCATGGCAATAAGCTCAGCAGGAGACCCTGCTGCATTTTAATCAGAAAATTTCTGCTTTGTAAACAATGCAACRTTTTGTGAAAAACATCCAACTTTATGAACTTTCATATGGACATTTCCTCAGGTCTAAAAAGTCCAAAAACATGSTGAAGGCGACCCAAGTAGGGTGTTATTTTTCAAGGTCTGTCTCGATGGCAACTGTAACTTATGCACATGGGTTTGGGGGAGGGGGTTTCTGGGTTTTGGTTTGTTKGGGTGGGCTTTTTTATTTTTTCTATTTGTTTCTTTATGATGGAGTTCTGCTTTGTGCTCAAATTTCAAAGTTGTATTAATCTGATTGATGGCTTTACAGCAACTGTTACATTAAGTGATAACTGAATTTCTGTTAAATTATCTTTCACAGATTTTCTTTTCTTTGTAAATTATTCCTTGCACATTTCTTCTCCAAACCTTTTCCTTCTCTCCTGTCTGCCTTCCCCTCTTTTCACCTGCCTTTGAAAAGAAGGAATAAAGGGAAAAGTAACACACAAGGAAGAAGCAGAAATATCCTTAGGATTCTGCCAAACAATACCATTCAGCACGTTTGAAAGTCAGTAAGATCATGTTATAAAGTGGTTTGAAACCTAAAATCAAAATTGCAAGTGGCAAATCTATACTATAATTTAAAAAATGAAGCAAATGASTAATTACAGCTTTGACTTGTACATTCAATCAGCTTGTTTAAGTTGTTTTCTCCTGCCTTACTAATCTATGTTAATCTTTATTTCCAAGGTACAGGTTCAGCTTAAAAATGCACTTTTTCTACAGACATAGAAGCATTGCTAGGTAAGCTGTGAATGATCAGATGGATTATAGT